GAAATTGTGTTGATCCTCTTGCCTCAGTCTCCCAAGTGCTGGGATTACAGGCATGTACCACTAGAATAGCCATTATAGCTGGGCATGGTGGCACACACCTGTGATCCTAGGAATCAGGAAGCTGAGGCAGGAGGGCTACCACAAGTTTAAAGCCAGCCTGAGCTACATAGTTTATGGAGACCACTATGAAGTGGCTGTGAATAGGATTTAAATTAACCAATTGGCTTTCCACATGTACTTGTGAATCTGTTGAAGGCTGAGGCCCCTTGTCTGGCGATGGACAGCAGACTCACGGTAAGTGAACCTCTATGAGTCACAGGTCTGGACTGAGGCCTGTAACAGTGGATGAAGCTGGGAAGCTTCAAAGAACAAGACAAAATCACAACTAAATACACCTGACTCTAACCTCAATTAACTAGATAAAGAGTATACCTGAAGGCCTCTCACTCCTACAAGTGAAGGCCTTCCTGGAAATAACATAGTTCTCCTAAATTAACAATGTATTACTTGGAACAATCCTTGAGCAGACTTCTAAGGTCCTTAAAAGATCCTGTTCAGAGTCATAACTTTCTTCAGTATTCCCCTTCTTTGTTTGATAACTAAACATATACAGGCTACCCAGAGAAGGTCTCTGATTTGGCCTCCAAAGAATTAAAAATTCTGTTAGGAAGTTTTGATCCTCCTGGAACCTAAAATCATACCACTTGACTCATTTATTTAAGCCTTCACATATACTCACTTGGGAGATTGCAGACCTGATCAGTTTTCAGTAACTAAGAGATAACATTAACACCTTACATAGTGAGTTCAATATTCATATGAAAAATATGAATATTGATAAACAGTGAGCTGGAGAGATAGCTCAGTGGTCTAAAGTGTCTGTTTGGGCAAGCCTAAGCAAGGCACAAGACTGTGGTTCAATCCCTGGCATCACATGCCATGCCAGCCCTGCCCCCAGGGTGGGCTGAACCGGCCACTAAAAAAAAAAAAAAAACCCAACATAGTGAGTTCAAGGCCACCTTGAACTGCATAATGAGACCCTGTCTCAATAAACAAAAAAGGGGGCCAGCCAGATAAATCAGCTCAACTGGGGTGGTGTGCCTGCTCCAGGGGCACGCTGAGCCAGTGAAAGAGACTGGGTATGTGACACATTCCTGTAATCCCAGCACTTGGGAAGCTGAAAACAGGAGGATCACTATGAGTCCAATCTGTGTAGTAAGACCCTGTACTAAATACTTTAAAAAAA